TCAGCATTCTGCACAAGATCCAGTCTGGGCATCTACAGCATCCCTATCGAATTCAAGTAGTAACTAGACTAGCAGTAACTATCTGCTGTGTCTGAACCCACCACACACATCCATGCCACTCTTACTCCTTCTATAATCTGTTGCCAAATCCAAGGGGTAATAGACAGAATGTGTAAGGGAAGCCCTCTTGTCAGCTGGGCCTTTGCCAGGAACCTGACAGGAGGACTGCTAGTGCACCCTTTCCCTTTTTCCTTCTTTATTGCTAATTTACCTATAGAAGGACGGGGTAAGGGTGCTAGTGGTGAGGAGAAGGTGAGGAGGAGGGTTGGAGTTCAATGCTAGTCAAAATTAAAAAAAAAAGCTGCCTGCAATTCCACAACACAGAGGGAAGCCAAGGCAATGACAAATAAAGGTTCAAATTAAATGGTCAGGTAGAATGGCAGACAGCAGCAAAAGTTTGAGTGTTAACTCTTTCACTGTCCTCCTTTGCCAAAAACTTTCTTCAAATGTTGAATCAGAGAGGCAGTTAAGATTTTAAGACTGGAGGATGTGTAAGTTGTGTTTGTGGTTGTTCTTTATAAATATTTATACAAGAGAATCCTAGGTCTAATCCCCACCTGACCCCTTGCCCCCATGCAAAACTAAAAAAAAAGGCTGCCCCACCAAAATGCAGGAGGGAAGGACAAGCCTCAGGAACATTAATATACACCTTTGGCCATAAGTTGCCTGCCCTTCCTCAAACCTTCCTATCAAGACTTGAGAAAGGCAAAACAAATTGAAGAGCCATTTTGTAGACTTCTGGGGAGCGAGCATGGAGTTTATTTTCACAACACCAGTGGTGATCAGTGATGAGATGGTTGTGATGGCTCTCATGGTGAGTGCAGTGTGTTCCCTCTGTCTACCTGACTTCTGACCTCTTTTATCTAATGGCACACAATACATTCATAAACTTTGAATAAACCTGGCCCTGGCCCCCTGAACCTGAGAGTGCCACTCAGTGGCAAAAGGGCACCTTTTTCCTATTGGTGAATTTGTTTAATAACCCAGCCCATGTTTGTTTTTGCATTACCACCCTTTTGCCACTGAGTGTATCTCTTTCTCTGAGTGTCCTGACTATTTTGAGTTATTGGAAACTGAAGTAACTAATCTGTGAAATGGAAAAGTTAATACTCCACTATAACAAATTAGACATTGTGAAAACTGTATAAATGGCTTGGAGAGTAGATATTATTCCTAATTTATGATCATTACTTTCTGGTATACCAATATTTTAAATGTAAAACCTTTACTATAAAGAGGTGTAGTTACTGATTACAGACAAACTGTAGTCATATTAAAAAACTTTTTTCCGCCGATGGACTATCTTGCCAGGATAACATATTTTGTATCCAATCAACATGTATACTTTGTAATTGTGTTATGATTTAAAATCGTATGCTTATAAGTATGTTTATGATATGTATAATGATTTTATCTAGAAAAAGAATTTATAACCCATTAGACTGTAAACAGTCTTTTGGCATGAATATGATCCCTTGCGTAGATATGTTGGTTTGTTATAGATAATGCACGGAATTGGCTTATGTTATATGGATAGTTTGACAAAAATAGTTCCAAAACCCATCTGCATAACTTCCCATAGAGATCTTTTAAGGAGAGATGTTTTCATCTATGGTTTACCTTTCCACAAAGCTGAGACAATGACAAGTCAATGAATAACCAGGCTATTCATTTGTTGTGTCCACAAGTCTACCTGATCACACATATGAGGTGTATTCACACTCTAAATTTATGGGACCTGGAAATGCTTGAAAATATTTGTCAGTTGTTCAGGTACACTGAATATGTCAGTAACCCATCGTTCCTAGAATTGGTTCTGTAAGCAAGCTTGTTTAAAGACCCTCAGCAGTTTCAGTTGAGAAAAATAGTGTCTCTGATGGGAAAGTCAACCTAAAAATAAGGCATTTCATTGACTTGTTATAATTTTTTTCCATAAAAATTCTGATATGTCTCTGCTAAAACTTTCTGTTACTATTTTTTACTGTATAGTAGTTACTTACTGTTAGAGATTCTGCCCTACAAAACAGAGTGCACAGTCCCACATGTGTTCATCTTCTGCTAACAGGAAAATGGAACCTTACTATAGAGAAAAGACAGAGTTTACCACAAAGATCATCTATATATATATATATCAGTATATATATATATATATATATATATATAAACAATGCCATCTATTGGTTGAAGAATATATCTCTACTGAATACTGATGTAGTTATTGCACAAAGCAACTAACACCTCACTCAACAAATACTCCTTATATTAGTACAATTCTGGATCTCATTTTTTTAAATTTGTTTCTCATGGGTTGGAAGTCTTTGCATCTTATTCCATGAATCTGGCTTTTATTGCTACATGAGCAACGTTTTGACTGGGATGCCTTTTTTTATCCTGGTGGATTTCCTGCTTGAAGCTTCTTGTGGCCTGGTTTCTACTTTTACAGTATTTGGATTGTCTGCGTTAATTTCAATTTCTGTGTTACTTTGTTGCTTATTTTCATGTGACGATGTGGAATTTCCATCAGTTTGAAGTGTTTGTGTAAGTTCATGAATTTTGAACACGCTGGTTACACTGCTACTGCTGGTTATCTTATTTGTGTTTTGGTGTAGAATTCTGTATCCCTTTTGAGATCCACTGTACCCCACAAATATACCTTCCTTTGAGTGAGCATCTCATTTTGTATGTTTTTCTTTTGGGATGTGTATATAGGTTTTGCTTCCAAAAAATTCTAGATGATTCAAATTCAGGGCTTTTCCATTCCACAGTGCACATGGATTTTTTGCAGTTGATTTTACTGGTAGTAGATTTTGTAGATAGCATGTGGTCATAATTGCCTCCACCCTGTATGTTGTTGGAATATCTCTATCAAACAGCATGGTTCTTCAACTCTCATATAAAGTACGGTTCATTCTTTCTGTAACCCAGTTTTGTTCTGGGTTGCATGGTACAGTAGTTTGAAATATTACTTGCTACACTCAGCATTTTGCCAAATTTGTTGCTTACTTTAGCCAAATGCTGTTCAAGTTTTTCTGGTATTTCACTTTTTTTGTAAACAGATGTAATGTAGTGTACCTGGTATAATCATCTATAAAAGTGAGAAAATAACTCTTCTTTCCTGGAGTCAATTTTTCCATTGGACCGCAAAGATCTGAATGAATTAAATCCAGAGGGATTTTTTTTTAGCTCTGCTGTTAGTCTGCTTTGGAAAGGCTTTTCTTGTCATTTTCCTTATATACAGCTGGTTCATTTCTCTGTTTTGATCACATGGACTAATTTTATTCCACTTGCATTGTCATTCTCATAATTTCCTTATTTTGTCAGGACTTCTGTGCCCAAGTCATCTATGCCATGCGTGAATGCAGTTTGAATGTTTTTTCTGCTTGGCAGTACTAACCACCTAATTGCAGTTCAGCTGATACTGTTCATCTGTAATTTTAACCTTTGCAAGTAAGATACCCCTTTTGTAATGGCATGACTGTCATCTTGGAAGGTTACTACATTGCCTTGTTTTGTGAGATTCTTCACTGACAAAAGATTAGTTTCAAGAGCAGGACCACACAGGATATTTTTCTCAGGTATCTTTAGGTCTCCTATTCATTTTGATTCCATTATTTGAACATTAGCTGTGGTGATTTTTTTCAGTTTTACTCTGGTCAAGGTGAATAAAGAAATTTGTCATGTGTCATATGACTCATAGCTCTTGAATTAATACACCTGCAAAGATGAGGTGTAACGTTTGGATTGAAAAACATATTCATTATCTGAAGAAACATCAGTTTCTTCCTTCACCCTTTTGGCCTTTTGCAGTTTAGTTTGTTTTTGCATTCTAACTTTCCAGATTGTGCAATCTGCCTTTAAATGACATTGTCTCTTGCACACCAAGCATTCACGTGTTTCTTGTTACATGTTTCTGTTTTTTCCTATTTTTTGTCTTTAAAGCAGACAGAGACACCGTCAATATTATTGCTTTTCTGTTTTACGTTTATATTCATCCATAAGCTTACCATTAATATATTCCAATGTCAGTTTATTGCTGAGATTAGCTCTTTCCTGCACCTTTTGTAATCTTTCCCACATTTCTTTAGCAGTTTCATACTTATTTGAGTACTATTCACTATGATTTTATCATCTTCTGTGCTAAGAGAGATTGTGCTCTGAGCTTTATGGTCTTTCCCTATTTGAAAAGTGTTCTGGCCTGACTTCATTTATACATTCTCTTATTAGCAGCATTTTCATCTTGAATTTTCAAGACTGGTAGTCCTGGTTTGTTAGATTTGCAAAAGAATGTGCCAATGTGTTATTGGCCATTTTCTTTTATTCTTTTGCAGTCTTCTTTCTGTTGCTGTATCTTGTACTTCTTTTGCTGTAGCAGGCTACCTTTGCTGTAGCAGGCTATGACCGGGTGTCTGGGCCCATAACCTGTTAGAGATTTTGTATATAGCCCTACAAAACAACCAGCCACAGTCCACATGTGTTTATCTGCTGCTTCTGTGCTAACAGGAAAAAGGAACTTTAAATACAAACAAAAAACAGAGTTCTATCATAGATGCAGCTACAAACTTAAAAACACTACAATCTGGGGCATAGCTAGCATTGCATGCAGTAGGACGTGTGCCTTGTAAGCTCCACTAGGTATCCTGACTTTTCTCCTGTTAGGCACCATGTTCTCCACCTGGAGTCATCTACTTGGTCCCTGGGGTAACCTCTGTCTTACCCGCTTTCATTTTCTGCCCCTCCTCCCCTTCTCCGAGATGGCAAAGTGGGAAAAAGAGGCCCGGGCCTTACCGGAGTTGGCCGGGCAAGATGTTGGTACCCCGCTGCATGCAGCCAAGGAGAAACAAAGGCAGGCTGCACAGAAGTTTTTTGCCAGGCTTCTCACCAGAGAAAACTCACAAAAACAGCTCCTGGACTCCACCACTGATCCGGACTTTGCAGGTAGTGCTCGGACCTATCCACAGGGGCGGACTGACCATTGGGGAACTCGGGCACTGCCCGAGGGCCTGGGGTCAGTAGAGGGCCCCATGAGATGTCCCTGGTACCTTTCATAGGCTTTTTTGGGTGTGGTTTGAGTGTGGGCCAGGACACAGGGGCCCCATGATCCCCTATTGCCTGGGGGCCCCATGAGTTGTCAGTCTGCCCCTGATCCTCCATATCTAATATGGCACAGGCTGCTGCACCTGTTGATAATAATCCTGACCTGAACCCACCCTTACAGTGATTCTTTCAGCTGTCACTACTTGCACCTCATCTATTGCTCTTGATCTTACTGGGGAAGTAAAAGGGATGAAGGTGGAACTGTCCCTGGTGCATCAGGACATGAAAACATTGAGGGACGCACTGCTGCCTTGGAAGGGAGAGTGAATACATTGGAGGATGACTGGCAACCATTACACAGGGATGTGCGTTATGTGCAATCAGTCTCTTCTACCAACTCCTCTAGATTGGAGGTTTTAAAAAATTGATTACGCCGAAATAACGTGACAGCAGTTGGAATACTGGAACATGTGGAAGGTAATAATCCTGTAGCTTTTATTGAAGCCTGGCTAATCTCCACTTTTGGTAGTGATTCTCTCTCCCCCATGTTTGCCGTGGAGCGTGCACATAGAGTGCTGTCACGTCCACCACCGGCTGGCACTCCTCCTCGCCCCTTTTTGTTTTGCCTACTCAACTACCGGGATAGAGATACCATTCTTTCCAAGGCCATGAGCAAAGGCAATCTGTCAGTTGATAATGTTCATATATTCTAATTTTGGATTTCTCAGCGGAAGTTCAGAAGCAACGTGCAAAATTCCTGGATATTAAAAAACAGCTCCAGGCTCTAGGCCTTCAATATGCTATGTTATATCTGACTAAACGTAAGGTGATTGCAGAAGACACATCTCACTTTTTTGACAGTCCTAATGCAGCCCTGAACTGGTTGGACGGAGTGGAACATTGCCTGGCAAATCTTCCTAGAACTTGATCTTGGGGACCCTGATGATCCTTGGTGCCTTGAACTCAGCTCAGTAGTAAGGTGTGGTATTGCTGTCAAAACTCCTTTTTTTCTTTTCCCTTGTATTAGTTTTCTTCCCCCCTTTTGATACCTCTGCACCTAACCACTGCACCTAACCGCTGTGTGCATGTCCACCGGACATTGTGAGTACCCCAACATGTTTTTGTTCCTGAGTGGACCTTTAGGCCACCTGCCTATGTTTCAAGCATCCACAAACATGGCCCTGTTGGCCTATCTGCTGGAGGCATTGTTGGTTTTCTCCTTTTTGGTTTGTTAATGTTTCACCTGAGTTACCTATACTGTATATTGTGGGGTGTTTGATAATATGTCTGTCACTCCTGCTTTTTTCAAGATGTACACCTTAGCCCACATAGTCCTGGCTATTGCTTGTTGTTTTTTGTTCTGTTTTCAATCCTCCCTAACATCTTTGATTTATGCTCTTTTTGTGGGGTTGTATATATGTCTTCGACAGGGATCTATCTCATACCCCTTCAATATTAATTATGTCTGTCTCACTTAAGGAATTGTTATTATTCTCCTGAAATGTTAGAGGCCTAGGGCAGTGGTCGGCAAGCCGCGGCTCGCGAGCCACATGCGGCTCTTTACAAACTTAAATGCGGCTCTTCTGTGTGCCGGGCGCCCGCTCCCCTCCCTCCTCTCGGGCGGCCGCCCCAAAAGTCAGGACTCTGCAGCTGTCAGGATGTAGGCGGGGCAGCCAGGATGTAGGCGGGGCAGCGTGACAAACTCTTCTCCTCTCACAGTCCGCCCTGAAGACCAGAACGGAGCGGGAACACGGCGAGAGGAACGCGCGGAGCAAAGGTAAGTGAATTGACACAATATGGGGAATGAATTACTATAGGGGGGATGAATTACTATATGGGGGATGAATTACTATGGGGGATGAATTACTATATGGGGGATGAATTACTATGGGGGATGAATTACTATATGGGGGATGAATTACTATATGGGGGATGAATTACTATGGGGGATGAATTACTATATGGGGGATGAAATACTATATGGGGGATGAATTACTATATGGGGGATGAATTACTATATGGGGGATGAATTACTATATGGGGGATGAATTACTATGGGGGATGAATTACTATAGGGGGGATGAATTACTATATGGGGGATGAATTACTATGGGGAATGAATTACTATATGGGGAATGAATTACTATATGGGGGATGAATTACTATGGGGGATGAATTACTATATGGGGGATGAATTACTATATGGGGGATGAATTACTATATGGGGGATGAATTACTATGGGGGATGAATTACTATATGGGGGATGAATTACTATATGGGGGATGAATTACTATGGGGGATGAATTACTATGGGGGATGAATTACTATATGGGGGATGAATTACTATATGGGGGATGAATTACTATGGGGGATGAATTACTATATGGGGGATGAATTACTATATGGGGGATGAATTACTATGGGGGATGAATTACTATGGGGGATGAATTACTATGGGGGATGAATTACTATTGTCTTGGAAATTTGCTTTAACAAATTTCTCCTTACCGTGAGTACTCGCAGTTGGATGCGCAGAAATCCCCCATAAAGCTGTGCAAATCTCGCTTACCACGACTGCAGCTAAACTACACAATTCCTGCCCATCCAACTACTTTTAGCTTCTGTTGAGATGTGGAGGGTGGAGCTCCCTATACCTGGAAATGATCACACGACACTTTCAGGTTGCTGTTGGAATTCCCATAGAGGCTGGCTTCAGACTCAGCCCCCGGTTTTATTACAAACACACACGCCCCCCCACATGAATAAGGTCAATTCCCTCCCACAGAACAATGCAATGGGGAGTGCCTATACACAGGATGTACATTCCGATTGGAGCATAGCCTTTCCTATTATCTATCACTGGTCCTCCCCCATGAGCCCTCTGAGGTCAGCAGACTTCCTCCCCTTCCACCCATGAGCCCTCTGTGGAGAGCATATCTCCTCCCCTTCCCCCCATGAGCCCTCTATGGAGAGCATATTTCTTGTTCCAGCTCCTAGCAGTATGTTCATTCTCTGTACAAGCATTCCCTAGAAACATCAGTCTGTACCTGGATGGGCCCGATACGATCTTTATTAAAACACATCCATCCTGATACAGTTCAGGTCGGTAATGGGTTGTAAGATATGCATAAGTCTACATGCGGAGTTCGTACCGCTTGGCGCCTTGCGTTATGAAGTCCATGTGGTACTATGCTGCTGATATGTGGATACAGGCCCGCGGCCCACCGCCAGTGGCATTCGCATCGAATGCCGTGGTGGTATACACGCCGGTCTATAAGCGCAGATCTGCTATCACATCCATTACTGAGCTGAGTACTGTAATACATACATTGTACATGCGCATGGCCCAATTGCAGCCTTCAGAGCTTTAATTAAGCCACACGAGAGACATATGAATAACACTCATATATGACACATTTAAAGTTCAACCAACAATACAAAATTTCCATGACACTATATGGGGGATGAATTACTATGGGGGATGAATTACTATGGGGGATGAATTACTATATGGGGGATGTATTTTCAGTTTTAAAAATGTGGCTCTCAAAATAAATTTCAATCGTAGTTTTGGCGAGATTTGGCTCAGTTGAAAAAAAAGGTTGCCCACCACTGGCCTAAGGGACAAAACCAAATGTGGAGCTATCTTCCATTTCCTTAAACATTTGAGACCGTCTTTAGTGTGTTGGCAGGAAACCCATTTGAAACCAGACACTGTATGCTCACTCTGCTCTCTCTTGTTCCCCATACAATATCAAACTCTAGAGGAGTGATTATCCTTATTTCTAATTCCGTTCAATTTACCCATATGCAGGAGCGGATTGATGTAAAGGGCAGATGTGTCTTCCTGCTGTGTACTTTGAATGTGTTTTGTTGCATTGTGGCCACGATATACATTCCCCTGCCCTGTTCTCTGGAGGTCATTAAACGCTTAGAGCAATTTATGGCATTATACCCCCACGCTCCTCTTCTGGCGTTGGGGGATTACAACAAATGTTTACTCCCTGCTTTGGATAAATTGTCCCTGGGCAATAGGGGTAGGCACTTGTCCTCCCTACCTACCTCATTTGCTAATTTGTTGTTGGAATTGGGCCTCTGGGATGTGTGGCAGGTGAAATATCCGACTGCAAAATATTATTCTTGTTACTTTGCTGCTCATGATGGGCTTTCATGTATAGATATGGGACTTGGTAGTTCTGTTATCATGCCATATGTTAGATGCCTCCTACAAACCCAGAACTCTGTCTGATCACGCCCCATTTTAGGTTCAATTGCAGACGCACTATGCCCACTCTTGTCCTCTGTGGAAGGTTAACCCATTATGGCTGACATTGTTCCCAGAGCCTGATTTGATCTCAGGGGTATTGTCAGATTTTCTGCAGCGGAATGAGGGTCTGGCCTCATCTGGACGGGTTTGGGATACGTTTAGAAACCTTCCTGAGATGTCTGATTATATGAGAGATCTTGGCGGTTAAGCGCAGGTCCAGGGAATGGGAGGCCATAGTACGCTCAGATGTTCAGCAGAGGGAAGTTCGGATAATCCTAGACCCAAGCCCCCACAATCGCAATTTTTGGGTGGAAGCCCAATCCCAAGCCCTCTATGAGTTGGTGATTACCCAAGCGGCCGACAGAGGAATTTTTTACAACAAAAATATTTTGAGAAAGGTGAGAGTATAGGACACCTTCTAGCCCTCGTAGCAAAATCACAACAAGAGGTGTCCACTATAGATAGGATAGAGCAGGGGTGGGCAATTGTGGCCCTCCAGATGTTGGTGAACTACAAGTCCCATCATGTCTCTGCCTTTGGGAGTCATGCTTGTAAGTGTCAGTTTTGCAATGCCTCATGGGACTTGTAGTTCTACAACAGCTGGAGGGCCACAGTTGCCCACCCCTTGGATAGAGGATGCCACTGGTGAGGTCTGCACGGGTCATGCAGATATATTAAGGGCTTTCCAACATTTTTACAAGGACCTTTATGCATCTAAAACTGTTGCCACCCACTCTGAGCTTACTCAGTTTTTAGACACCTGTCCTTTCCCTACTCTTTCTTAGGTGATTCTAGCTCCATCTGGTCAGTCTATCACCATAGAGGAACTCTCCGAAGCTTTGA